TAACTCAACAAATTCTTTACCAATTTCGGTTGACTACAAAATACTAACACAATTCAGGCCTTAATCCAACTTACGAGCTAGCAGACAGGTGGACCGCTAGTTAAATTCAAAAATTAACCGTCACAAGCTGTATTCTCCGTTGGTGATTTCAATGCAGTTTTCGTTAAAGATGGTATAATTCAGCTCATTAAGGATAAGGTATTTGGCTTGAGGAAAAATTATTTTGAACTGTTTGCCATGAGGTGTTGGTAATGGATACAAGTGATACAATATGTATTTATTAGTATCTACAATGGGCAATTCGATTATGAATACTATTTGATTTTGTTTTGAATAGCTTTTAATTTCCAGTAGTTTTTCGAAAAGCAAGGTATTCTTTAATTCGGTGGAAAATGGAAGTTTCCGGTGATTTAATTTATTTGATACAAGCTTTATTTTTTCATTTAGTACCATAGGATCAATTTTTGAGTTATGAAATGTATTTAATTTAGCAAATGTAGTTGCTATTTGCAATCTTTCTAATACGTCATATATTTCTTAAAATGAAGTAATTGTCTGAGTGATTAGCAAATGTATTAGAAAATAGTGGTCTATGGTTGATGTTTTGGAATCTAGTGAAGTGAGTGCTTTCTAAATTTGTAGAATTCGTGACTTTAAGATAAGCTGGTGGTGTGAGATATTCTTTCATAAAGCTAAAAACAAATCATTTGACTTTTGAACGATAGTTACTTGTTCTTGCAATGCAGTTTTCATATTCATTTGATTACTTGCAATTTGGGAGATTAATCTGTCATATTTTTCAGCGTCTTCATGGTCAAGGTTTCCAGTTAATGATTTAATGATTGATCCTAGACCATCGATTAGTCCTCTTTTTGCTCTTGTTTGAATAGTTGGGTTTATTTGATTTATCTGACTTTTAATTTTGTTTTCTAGAATGAAGGCTAGATTATAGGAGTTGTGAAATTCTCTATAAAAAGAAGCTGTTTTATTCAGTGAACTAGTTATTTCTTTCAGACTGTTTTGTAGGGATGCGAATTTTTTAATTATTATTGTTATATCATAAATTTGTACAAATGTCCAATAGTCAACTATGTTTTGGGAGTTTCCTAATTTCAGTAGAAGGAGGCTAGTATTATTATTGAGGCTGTGGAACGTCACTTCTGCAGTTGCATATGTTACGATCCTGCAACAACAGGTGTTTTTAATTCCTTTATATGCATTATTTCTTGTTTTTTGTTTGTTTTATTTATTATTTTAACTTTCCTATTTTCTAGAATATCGGTGATTTCAAATGGGCCTATAAACTTATTTTCTTTTGTATTTCGTTTATTTGTGATATGTTCTTTCTTTATTTCTAGTTTATTTTGTAGATCTTTGTACAGGTGTTGTAATTTGTCTCTATGTGTTAATACATAGTCTGAATAAAAGCTTGAATTTATCAAATCACATGGGTCTCGAAAATTTGTATGTCCAAATGTGATTTCGAATGGGGTAAAATGTGTAGAACTGTGAATGGAGTTATTATATGCGATTAGAGCATATTGCATTAGTGTTTCGATGTTTTCACTTTTAAATCGTGTTCTTAAAATTCTCAGGTGTTCAATAAGGGTTGAGTGAAAGCGTTTTAAATTCGGTGCCATTGTCTGAGATTATTCGTTCGGGTAAACCGTAAAATGAGAAATTATGTAATAGATTTATACAAATTTTGATTGATGTTTTTCCTTGAATTGGAAATGCTTGTCCTAATTTTAAAAATGTATCAATTATGCTTAGAAAATTTTGATTATCATATTTAAAGGTATCCACGTGCAAGAGTTGGAAGGATTTTCCTGCTGTTTCGGTGAGAACTAGAGGGGTATATGGAGGTTTTCTTGAATATTTTGTTGTTTGGCATGTATCACATTCATTTATATAATGAGTAACATCGTTTTTCATGGATGGTCAATAATAGTTTCTTTTTAATTTCTCTAATGTCTCAGCGATGCCTCTATGGTTACATCTATGGACCAATTTTGTACATTTGATTAATTTGAATCCTGTTCCATAAAAGTTGTGCATATAAATGTTGTTAAATGCTAGATAAATTAAATCATCGTGAAAATAGAGATGACATGTTTTATTGTCCGTGGTGCAAATTTTTAGAAATTTAAATATTAATTCAAGATTGGATTTTGGCACTTTAGCGTTCCAAATATTGTGTTTTTCAAAACATTCCTGTTTAACATCAATTTTATTATGAGGGTTATTTGAGATAATTAATTGATATGGCTTGTTATTAATTATTTCATCACGTATTCTTATTCCATCGTTAGTGGTGTGGAAGTCGCTACTAGTATGGGGTGTTTCATCAGTTTGTTCTATTCTTTGTTGTGCACGAGGTGGAACTAGTTGAATATCTTCTATAATATTTATTTTTGGTTTTTGCAATTTTTCAAATTTTTGCAGAATTTCTGTAACATCTGCGGGATCAAGGTGATCTGGATTAAATGTTTCTAAGAAATCATCGATGTCGGTATTTATATTTCCTGGATTGTTAATGGTACTTTGGTTTTCTACGGCGTTAATTTGAATTCGGGAAAGTGCGTCGTCGTTTGTATTCTGCTTTTCTTTTTTATAGATGATCTCGTAGTCATATTCTTCAAGTTTGAGTCTCCATCTGACTAGTTTGCTAATTGGTTCTTTTAGATTGAATAACCAAACAAGTGGTCTATGATCTGTATAAATTTTAAAATACTTATTCGAAATCGGTGACGGTGACTGTGACGGTCGAAAATACTTATTCGAATTGTTCGGCCGTCACATTCGTCCTAGACCAGACTACTTCATATGGTCCAGAAAGCCAACGGCAGGTGTTGTAAAAACACTTTTTTTGCCCGACCGCTATCTAGTGAAAGCAGATTTTTTCAACCATCGAAGTTTTTATGGGCTTTTTACCAGATTCCGTTCCGCTCGAACGACATCGAGAAAACGGCAGTCATAATACGTTTTGACCTGTACGAGTTCCTGCGAATCCCCTTTGGCCTGAGGAACGCCGCTCAGACCCTACAGCGATTCCTGGACAACTTCTTTCGAGGATGCCCATTTGTGTACGTCTATATCGACGACATATCCGTCGCATCAGAAACGGAATCGGACCACGAGCAGCATTCGCCATCAGTGCTCCGGATTCTGGAGGCTAATAACCTCCAAATAAACCAGGAGAAGTCCAAATTCCGAGTCCGCAATGCCAACTTCTTGGGTACAACGGTCTCAGCAAGCGGAATCCTGCCCTTGCCGTCACAACCAACGACCTACAAACAGCTGTGTCGATTCCTGGGCATGGTCAATGTGGGAAATTATGTTATCGGCCACTTTTAGAAGAAGAGTTTTGTCGACATAACCTAGATTACGAGGACAGGCATCAAGATCACAGACTACATACTATTTAGACCTCTCACTCTTTTAGCACCGCTGGCAGCGCTCTTGCGGTCTGAGCTAGCTAGCTTTCAATTTGGCGACATATTCAATTTTAGTTTAGACTTTTTAGGGTTATGGGATAAAAAATACACTGGCAAAGCAATTGGATAAATATGTATTGATATTTTGTACACTTGTTACATACATTACACATTGGAAAATATGAGTTATAATAAATAAAATCGTTATTTAATAATGGTTTTTGGCGGACATTTGTCATTGTTATAAAGCAAGGTATTAATAATCGGCTGAACATCTTTATAGCAGTTCAATTGCAATTACAATTGATGATGACAACATGATCATCAGTTAACAATAACCTTTCTTAAAAAGTGCTACCTATTTATCTTTAAATAAATTAGATGCTCATATAAATAAGAGCATCGGTACATACGTGTAACAAAGAACATTTCGGCAAACCGGATTTT